TCATTCATTCATTCCCTGAACAAAGAGTCACTGAACAACTATGATGATCTTCCAGGCAATGTTCTTGGGTCTAGGATATCACAGTGAGTAAAAAGGCAAAACCCTTACCTATACGAAGCTTACATTCTCAGAGGGACAAAGGCGATAAACCAATGAACCAGCAAATGCACGATGTTAGATGGTATAAGTGCTCCGAAGAAAATAAAGCAGGGGGTGGGCAGGAGCAGATGTGTTAGGAAAGGTCGTGCTTGCTGTCTGAGCATTAAATTTCACAGCACAGACACCTGGCTCTGAAAAGGTCCCACCAAACAGAGGGGAAAATTCTTCATGCATGGCATGAGGAGGGCCTGGGCATCCAGACTCCAATGACAAGAAGGCAACAGGCCGAGGTTAGGGAAGCAGTGAAGGCCCAGGCCACGTGGGGCTGTGGGAAAGCGCCCCCGTGTCAGCCATCCAGGCTTCATTCTTGGTCCAGCCTTCAAGCTTCAAGAGTCATGTCCCTTGGCTCCCTTAGTCCGCCATGAAAGGTTTCAGCTTTGACAAGAGGCAGGATGACTGATTGCTCATTTACCCAACTCACAGTGGTGTGTAGCTGGGGCATAAATATTTATTTCCTCCAACTGATGCCACTCTTGATAATGGGAAGTGGGGCATCAAAACTTTGAAACTCCCAACAAATGATGTCATTGCTACTGCAAGGAACAGGTACCTCACTCTCCCCCCAGGTGTGAGACAGGGAGTCAGGCCAGGTGAGCACGCTGGGGCTCCACGCCTCCCATCCATAAACACCAAGCGAGCCCACTGCAAGCCTCTGAGATCCTGGGCGCGGGAGACCTGCAACTCCAGATGCGGTGCATTTCCTGATGCCTGGCTCTGCCAGGCCCTCTAGTCAACTCTGATATTTCTCCTTGTGCCTGCTGCTACTCAGGTGTCCCCATTCAGAGAAGCAGCCTGACCCCTCCCTCTCTCAGGTGAGCCTGAGCCCTCCATTGTCTCTGCCCACCTGCCATGGAGAGGACCTGTCCCTGCAGCCCACTGACCTGACCAGCAGGCTCCATCGTGTAGGACTGGATATGAACCCAACCTCTAAGTCCTCTGAATGTTTCTTGCTCTCAGCTGTGGTCCTCAAAGTTTGCCAAACATGAGAACCATGTGAGGAGTTTTGGAAAAATATCAGTGCCCAGGTTCTACCCCAGACCAATCAAACCAGAATCTCCGGGGTGAGGGCCAGGCATTGGTATTTTCAGAACTGCCCGCATGATTCCAGTGTGTGTCCAGGGCTGAGGGACCCTGTGCTGGACAAAGCACTTCCATCCTCAGAGGATGCACCACAGGCAGGGCCAAGCAAAGGAAGGCTGGGGTCTAGGGGCTTTCATTTCAGACGCAACGCCGTGGACCCTGCCTGGTCGAAGGGCATCAGTGCCTTTGTTTCTCTCGCTGTTGATTCATTTGCCCTGAGTGGTGGCTATCCTTCCAAAATCCAGTCACGGCTAACATTGAGGTCTGCTACAGGTCAGGACCTGTCTTAAGCGCTCTCGTTGGTTTAACTCATTACGTCCTTAAAGCAACTCTAAGCAGCAGATAGGGTCAGAAAACAAACTTCAGATATATTTGAAGAGATATATTTCAGAGCTCATGCTTTCCCAGTGCTTCTCAAACTGTACTTGCTGAATTCATTAAAATGCAGGTCTCAGCCCTAGCTGGGTGGCTCAGTTGGTTGGAGAGTTGTCCCATACACCAAAAGGTGGCAGGTTTGATTCTCAGGCAGGGCACATACCTACGTTGTGAGTTTGATCCCTGGACAGGGTGTGTACAGGAGGCAACCAATCAATGTTTCTCTCTCACATCAATGTTTCTCTTTCTCTCTCTCTCTCCCTCCTTCCTCTCTCTCTAAAAAGAAAAACCAATAAAAACATATCCTCAGGTGAGGATTTTTAAAAAATGCAGGTTCCATTCAGCCGGTAAGATAGAGTCTATGATTCTGCATTTCTCACAAACTCCCAAGTGATGCTGATGAGGGAGATCCACGAACAATATTTTGAGCAGCAAAACTACCCATATGCCATGATGTCTCCTGGTATTTCTGGCTTTCTTCCTTAAGACCTCCCTAAAAGACTCCTGCCAACCAAACTCCTACGACTGGAGGTGTGTTCATTTGATGAACCACAGCCAATGGCAAAATCACAGTCAATCTCCACTTAAAACATCTGAGCAAAGTTCTGTTTAAATTCTGCTCAAATTGCAATATTTTGTGGCAAAAGACATCAGCTATTTGGAAAAGCAGTCGTGTCCATTATAAGCTGTAGATGTTGTGGGTTGTTCTGAAATTGCTTTTAAATGTAAGTGCTTTCTGGGCCAGGGAGACAACTCCCACTTCTAAACATAAAGTGAGGAGTTCCAATCTGAGAAATACAGAGAGGATTTCTCCAAACATGGGAGTGAATCATAGAACTATAAGCTTGCTTGCTTTCTCAGATCACTAGAGGAGAGGACGCATACAGAAACAAGAAGAAATGACAAATCTCCCTGCCCAGTAAAAGGCAGTAAGGGCAAATCAAGACTGTCTGCTAAATCAGTCTTGACTCAGTGACTGGGAACTAGTTGTCTCTGACTCGTGAAGAAGAGAAAATCAGAGCAGACAGGAATGAAGGTAAACTCTCAGGGATGCTTTGGATGTCAGTGACTTGAAGTTCTGGAATTGCAGACAAGGCTCTAGAGGAGCCTGACTTCAAACCATGAATCTTCAGGGAAACAAAATGCCCTACCTTCTCAAAGGTGGTCAAGATACCGAGGTTAGATTCCACGGTGATCGCTGATCATAGAATTAGTTAGAATGGGCCTCCATGTAATTTCCTTAGCGTGGTGACCCTCAAACTTGGCTCTACAATAGAATCACCTGAGAAGCTTTAAACATTCCCCCACCCATGCTCAGGCAATCCCCCGCATATAAATTAAACCACAATCTCTGGGTTTGGGGCCCAGGTACCCTTAATTTTTAAAGTTCCTCAGGTGGTTCCAATGTGTAGTCAAGTTTGAGAGCCACTAGCATAGTCTTCCAATGTCCTCACTCATAAAATGAAAGAATCCATCTGGAGCAATGGCTCTTCACCCTGTTGCATGTTAAAGTCACAGTGGGGAAATTTTTGAAAGTGATGATGCCAGCGGCACCCCTAGAAATTGTGGTTAATTTGTGGGGCCCAGGCACCAGTATTCGTAACAGCTTACCAGGTGATTCTAAAGTGCATCTGGGTAGATAGCTATTGGCCCAGAGGGGTGTGTGTGTGTGTGTGTGTGTGTGTGTGTTTGCCAGGATTCCTTTTATTGCTTACATTTTAACTATCTATGATATTGAAGCTAAAAATGCATCTTAGACTTTTTGCAAAGGTGGGTCTCTCAGCTTTAATATTAAATCAGGGGTCTCTAACTTTGGAAAGGCTTATGAATCCCCTTAAATCCTATGCAAAACATTGGATGAGTACATATGTTCATATATATGTATACTTTCTAAGAATGTCCTTAACTTTTATCAGAGTCTCAAAAGATTTCATGCTATCAGCTTAAAAGCAAGTGTGTGCCTTCTGATTTAAAAAAAGTCAAGAATGAATGGAAAATAAATTTGATCCCAACAGCATATGCACTATAATTTTGAATTTGCAGCACGCCCACTGCCACCTAGCTGTTGCATATCCTTATTGCAGGCTTAGTTCAGACTATATATAGCCCATCCTTGAAAATGGTGATGGATGAGAAGATTTCAGACCCAAGGATCAAAGTAGAAGCTGTGTTGCAGAGGGCTAGGCTGTCTGCTGAAGCCCATAAAGAGAAACCACTTCCCCAGCCGTACTTATAAGGAGACAGTCCACTCAGATACTTTGGATTCATGTTCCCCACTAGGTTGGAATATTAGGATTTTCTAGTCCTGATTATTGTTACCTTTATGCCCCAGTTTAAATCCTGGCTTGCTTTCTTACAACCCTATCCTTGGGGAAATTACTGAACCATTTCGTTCCTCATATGAAATGGGGACAATATGAGCACTTTTAAAATTGCTGTGAAGAATAAATAAGAAAATACATGTAAAATGCTGAGCCTAACAGCTGGCTCAGAGCAAGATCCAATAAATGACAGGTTACATTACTGTCATTACTGATGTCTTATTATTATGACTATCTTAGTGGCCTTGTCCAAGTCACTAAATTTCCTCGAGTGTCATTTATTTCCATACAACAGTGAAAATGAGCCCTGCTCGGTTTCCTTCATACAGTTACAGTAATGAGAAAGAAGAAGGGTAGAGATATTGCTATTACATGGCAACTAATCATCCATCCAGGAATCATCAGAGCACAAGCAAGGGCCACCCTACAATACAGACTTAATCCCTACCCTCGGAAGTAACTTTCTGAGATTCTAATAGTTGAAAAGGCTCTACAATGGACTGTAGCAATTTCTTGTCACAAATCCTGTCACATAGCATCCTCAGCAGTCTAAACCTTGCCCGGCATGGGCAAGTGGGTAACCATGCTCCACCACAAGCTCCTTTCCAGGTAAGAGCATTATGCCAGCCACTCCCTAAATCACAGATGCCCTAAAGCAGGGGTGGGGAACCTTTTTTCTGCCAAGGGCCATTTGGATATTTATAACAGCATTCGCGGGCCTTATGAAATTATCAACTTAAAAATCAGCAATAAAAAAAGCTCCTAGATTTATTGAATTTTGAGTCCCGCCTGCATCTGCTGTGGCAGGGCCAGACCAAATGATTTCATGGGCTATATACAGCTCCTGGGCTGGACGTTCCCCACTCCTGCCCTAAATCAACAGTTCTCCTCCAGGCTGAACACTCACTGGCGGCAGCCTCTCCCATGCCAATCCCTCCCCAAGCCCATCTGCCCATTAGAGAGTCTCACAGCACTGGCTCCACGACCTGCCCCACAGGAGCAGCAACATCACCAAGACTTCTCAACAGCCTCAGCAGAGATTCAAAGTGATGGGCTCTCACTTACCTGGAGGTGGCTTGGCCGTGCGCACAGGCGTGTAGTGGTTTTTGGAGGACGATCTGACCGGCGTGCTCTCTTTGGGGGAGGTATCGATGGCCGAGATCGTTTCTCTTTCACAGTGTGCTATGGGGATTGGTCCCTGTTGTCTCAAGATGTCAGCCAGAGCCCTAAATGGGGGGAGATCACACAGTGAGCTTCGCTGAGCGGGTGTGCGTGGCCACGAAGGCCTCCTCATGCAAGGAGCTAGGGGGAGAGATGGAGCGACAGCATTCAGTTCACAGTCACAGCTTCACCTGGGGCTGGTCTCAAGTGAAACACGGGCTAGAGGCTGCCATGCTGGGCAACTAGATGTCATGGTTATGGTTTCTTTCTTTAATTCATTTCAATCAATGAACTCTGAGCCCTTTCATAACACCGTTTCCCCAAACCCCCCCATTCCCAGCCGGTATCTCTGGCAGCTGGCCAGCGGAAGGCCACTGCAGCAGGGGCTGACACTGCTGGCCTCGAATTCAGCAGCGGGTTGCTAATAACAGAGCGACCAGCTTCCCCATAGAAAAGCACACACCCAGTAGCATGTGCTCTAAACAAACAAGTACAACACACACCTCCTGCCATCAAAGAAATGCACGGTTTAGCTGCAAAGACAGGATGTACAGATAAGAAGATAACCATCAGAACACACAGGTGGTGCAGGCAGGGAGAGAGCAATTACAGACGAAGGAGGAAACTGCGCAGGAGGAGAGATGCGTGGAGCGGCTGCCGCCAGAGGCCCAGGTACCAGGAGCAGCTTCCACTCACTCAGCGCGTGGCCTCTACAACCGCGCCCGCATTCACTGGGCACTCGGCGCACCAGGCCCTGCAGAGAGAGGGGTAAACAGGACACGATTCCTGCCATCCAGGGGCTCACAGTGTAGGGTAATTCACTCCACAACCTGGTTTCAAATAGGACTCGCTTTGTGGGTGTGACACATGACACAGGCAATGCTGACTGAACACAGACAAGCCGGGTTACTCCAAAAAGGCAAAGAGGAGTGTGGACAAGCCCCAAGAGAGCACCATCTGGATATTGTCACTCTAGGGCCAGGTCCCCAGGCTTGAGTGAACCCCTATTTTGCATGAGCTGGGCAAGAACTCTTCCATCCACTTGGGGTGCCCCTGAGGTGGGGGGTGAAGCACCACGTCTCCCGGCCTCTCCCAACAGGCCCAGCCCACACCGAGGCTTCATTCACATTGGGATTCCAGCTCCCACACTCGGTCCCCTCAGAAAGTGACAACCTCGGCAGTTTAAAAATGTGTCTGAAAGTGACTGGCTTCCTTCCATTCTGCCGCCTCTGACATGCTGAACCTTCCAGGAGAAGAGCATCAAACCGTCAATCTTATCATTCGGTGGCATTTACACAGCAATTTCCGATTTTCCGACTGCTTTCCCCTCACTGGCTTTCTTTGCTTGGGCGGGGAAGGGAAGGAGCAGACACATGCCACCCCCCCTGAGCAGTGAGGGAACATACAAGCTCGCCAGCTTGGTGATGGAAGTTCAGGCAGGCCTGCGGTCTGGGTCAGAGGCCTGAGGTTCAGGGAACAATTGAAAAGAATCTCCCCGATGGCCAAGAGATTTGGGTTCTAATCCCAGCTCTGCCACTGATGAGCTGTGAGCCGCTGGGCAGATCTGTTCATCTCTAACATTCAAGTTTATCAGAGAACAAACAGACGGACAGCTGTCAGAGGAAAGGGGGGTTGTGGGCTGGGTGAAAACAGTGAAGGGATTAAGGGAAAAAACAAAACTCACAGGCAGACTACAGCATGGTGATTACCGAAGAAAAGGGGGTGGGGGAGGTAGAAGAGATACGACGGTAAAAGGGGGATAAATGGTGATGAAAAGAGACTTAACTGGGGGTGGTAGACACACAATACAATATGCAGATGACGTACTGTAGGACTGTACACCTGAAGCCTATATAATTTTATTAACCAATGCCAACCCAATAAAAAAATAAAACAAATAAATAAAATTAAAAATTAATCTTGCCCTAGCCACTTTGGCTCAGTGGTCAGAGTGTCAAACTCGAACTGAAGGGCCTCGGGTTCGATTCCAGTCAAGGGCATGTACCTCAGCTGCAGGCTCTATCCGTGAGGGAGGCAGCCAGTGGATGTGTCTCTCTCACATCGATGTTTCTCTCTCTCTCTCTCCCTTCCACTCTCTCTGAAAGGCAATGGAAAAAATACCCTCAGTTGAGGGTTAAATTAATTAATAAATAAATAAAAATTAATCGTTTCCCCCCTCATTGGCAAAACAAGGGTTTACACTAGCATGACCTCTAAGATGCCTTCTAACTTCAAAATGTGATAAATGTTTTATTTTTTTAAACCACACATGTATGCAAGTTACCCTATTCCTTCTTCCTCCTGCTTATCAACTATACCTTCCCACCATGTGCACATGGTAAGCAAAGAGTGAGCTAAAAGTTGTAACAGAAATATAGACAATGGAATAGAATTGAGATCCCAGAAACAAACCTATAACCCTACGGTCAACAGACTTTCAACAAGGATGCCAACATCATTCCATGGAGGAAGAAGAGTTTCTTCAGCAAATGGTGTTTGGGCAACTGAAGAAGGCTGGACTTTTAATTCACACGTATATAAAAATTAACTCAAAACAGACCACAGATCTAAATACTGGAGATAAATCTGTAAACTCTTAGAAAATATGGAAATCAATCTTTGTGCCATAAACTTGACAATGGTTTCTTAGATATGACACCAAAAGCACAAACAACAAAAGAAAAAACATCATAAATTGGACTTCATCAAAAGTAAAAACTTTTCTGCATCAGAAGACACCATTAAGAAAATGAAAGATAACCCACAGAATGGGAAAAGCTTTTGCAAATTATATTTCTGGTATGAGACATATCCGGAATACATACAGAACTCTTAAAATTCAACAATAAAAAAAACAACAACCCCAAAGAACTTATATGCATATATGTATAACCCATGGACACCAACAATAGTGCTGTGAAGGCCTGTGGAAGGGGCGGGAGTGGAGAGGAGGTCAATGGGGGGGAAAAGGGGACATCTGTATTATTTTCAACAATAAAGATAAATTTAAAAAAAAAAACAACTTAAAATTGGACAAAGGATATAAACAGACATTTTTCTAAAGAAGGTAAACATGGAGAGCAGCTCAACATCATTAGTCATCAGGAAAATGTAAATGGCACCCACAATAAGATACCCCTTCATACCCACTAAACTAGCTCCAGCCAAATGCTGGCAAGGACCTAGAGAAATGAGAGCCTTTGTAAACTGCTGGTGGGAATGTGAAATGGTGCAGGCCCTTCGGTAAGGAGTTTAGCAGTTCCTCAAAATGTTAAACATAGAGCTACCATGTGGCCCAGCAATTCTACTCCTGGATGTCCCCATTGACAGTGCAAATGGCATTTCAGAGTAGATTTGCTCCAAGGCTCATTGGCCAAAGAGAAAATCAGATGCAGCAGAGAAGAGATTTCAAACTGAGTTCACCTCTCTCAGGATGGGGAGACTCGGTGCCTACCTCCTGAGAAGCCCTGCAAGACGTGGGCTCCGAGCACTGGGGCGAGGGGAGTGGCACTGAATCAAAGACACCTTCCTGAAGACCATCGGGCTTGGTGGACACCAGGCGTGCTCGGGTGTGGCTGCTGCTAGAGAATGGGCTTTAACTGGGGTGCAGCCATCTGTCTCCTCCTGTACCCTCTTCAGACGCCCAGTTGGCTGGGCCAAGCTGGGCAGCACCAAAGAGGAGAGATGTGCTAGAGAAGGTGTTCCTGGAGAGCCAGGCTATCTGGGGACCGGGACCCTGCCCTGTGTGGTCCCAACGGTAGCCAGGGTGGCCCCCCAGCCCTGCGGGCTTCCCTCGTTCCTGAACACCATTCTCCAAGATTCATCCTTTCCCAGTGCCCTCGGGCAACCAGAAAGGTGTCCCTAATTCCCAGACAGTGTGTCCTTAGGAGCGACCCCTCTGCTGTCCCCCCC